TATGCAAACCGAAACATGAGTCTCATTAACCTATTCAGACAATGACCTACTTTTCAGCCGATCCGAATTTTCTCGTGTGAAAAGAGAAAATAGACATCACAAACAACTATGGTTACTCTGAATTCCAATTCCTTGTTTCATAATAAAATGTGTTTTACAAATGAAGTTTAATTATAAACTTTAATAACATCGTATTTCTATATTTTATGGCGAGGTGTAGGCAGCATGACCTTAACTAAGACATCACAGACTGCCCCTGTTTGATGAGGTCGTAAAATGATTCACAATGCATTTGGCTCACTAGTTACACATGTTATGTGTTTGTCGCGCTTATTCAGAGTAGGTCTGTAACTCACAATGTGATTGATATAATATCAGGATCGTACCAGACCGCCATACTTTTCTAGCGGCAGAGCATCGTTTTGAGATTTCCACGATATCCAGGTTTCCGTTTGTCTGAGCTCACTGTACGACAGAGCACGCTGCATGACGTGTTTGCAAGGATTAGAAGGAGCGTAGTGTTGCAATATACAAGTGCTTAGATGTATCAGATAATACTGATTAATATTTATGTCTCCAGTTAAATGAATTGGTCTCAAAATTCTGGGCTGGTTATTGAACCCAGTCATCAGGAAACGAGACTCTTGTGTAATCAATGTTTTGACTTGACAACGTTAAAAAACAAACAGACAATACAAGGGTGTGACTTGGAACACGGAATGTTCTTGATAGCGACATTTACATATTCAACTCATATTTATTTTTTATTGAGCTGGTCATGACATAGAAATCCTCCATTGAGGGAATGTGAAGGAGGAATGGTAGTATTTAAACAGCCATGAGCACGTTTCATAGCTGTAGCTCTCTTTATAACTGACTCTTAAGTTCTCCACTTCTGCTGATGATTGATAGCCTTGTTCATGGTTGCCCCATTATAAGTACTTATGATACACTTACACATGCACGCACGCACGCACACAAGCAGACGCCTGTCAGTGTTACTATTAACAACCGACTATATATTGTAAGTGTGAGAATACACGTTAAATCGACGTCCATATGCATTTTAATGCATATAGGCAATTTTTCAATAATTTACTTTCATCAACTGTGCTTAAGTTAAATCTAGGTGTGTTACCTGAAAAGAAAAGAGGGAGCCTCACATATTTTGTTTCCATATCAGTATTTTGTCCCTTTGTTGTTTCACACCGCATTCAGCAATATTACAGCTATTTAAATTCCGGTGATCTCTAAATAATCGAGCCTGGACCAGACAATGCGGTGACCAACGTCATGAGCATCGATCTACGCATTTGGGATACGATGACACGTGTCAACCAAGTCAGCGAGCCTGACCACCCGATCCGGTTAGCTTGCTTTCTTGCCTGTTACCGACGTCGGGGATGGAATGGCCTACCTAAAAGACACTGTCTCCGAGGACCTTGAGCCATTGGTTGACTACTTCGACAAGACGTACGTCACAGGCACCTACCGCCAGATTCGCCGCCCAGGACAGTTGTCACTGCGTTTCCGCCGCATCAAGCCGATGTATCTTCCACAAGTTTGGAACGTCCATGAGATCACTCTTGAGGGTGGTTCTCGAACAAGAAATATGTGCGAAGGTTGGAACCACGCGTTTAAGAAACTGATAGGACATTCCCACCCTACTGTGTGGAGACTCATCGACTGTCTGAGAAAAGACAACGGTCTTGCGTGTACAGCCATCTACAGGTCCGAAAGAGGTCAGCCCCTAAAAAGAACCAGAATAACCACCAAACGTCTCCAAGAACGCCTTGAAGGTCTGTGCAAGACCTACGCAGCGAAGGAAAAGACACTCGAGGACTTTCTCCACGGCGTCGGCCGTTGTTTGCGTTAAATGCAGTGTCAGTACAATGTATAGTGCTTCCATGAATTGTGGCCTGATGTTTATTCATAGATATGTCTGAATTATAATAAGACATAAGAAGATATAATATGTTTCATTATGTGTGAAATTTATATATGCATTGATGCATGAATGATTCATAAATGTGAAAATGTGCTATTGTCATACTTATATATGCAAAAATGTGCTGACATATGTATTTTGGTGGTTTTTGTTATCGATTATGAATGACTGATATGAATAAAATTCATTTCTGTGGCTAAACATGTCATTAGTTTCTTTTTCTTAGGGTGGAATATATTAGGGGTGGATTTTGTCCGGGGTCGATTTTGTCCTAGGTTGCAATTTTGGGTGGATTTCCGCCTCTTACGACAAGCATGGGTTGATGAAGACCAATTCAAACCTGGATCTTCCCGGTTCAGGGTTTTGTCGGCAAGCGTTTTCGTGGTTTAATCAAGTGAGACTATTCCATGGAGGATCGCCTGCTCGTCGTAATTCACACCTTACCAGAGACAATGTTGCATTCGAACGCGTAACTTTCAATTCGGTGTTTTTCCATAAGGCTTCACGGAATTTCCAACTGAATACCCTCCGAATTTGATTTATTACAAAAGTCAAATGTAAAATCAAACCGAGCAGAAATATTTGTTACAAAACAAGAGCAGGGTCAAGATAAACGCGATAAATTAAGCACTAGCGCTTTATGTTTTTATCTGAATATCAAAGGAAAGGGGCGAGTATGGAATTTGCCGCTGATTAGCTTGACGAGAAACGATCGGCCCTGGCCTCGAGTCAGTTGGCTAATCCGTAGGTCTATCCAAAAGGTATAAGGTTAACTAATGCCTTGCTAATCTTATACATGCTTGCCTAGCTTTATCTAGCCTCAGTGCGATAACAGTGGTTAGGTTACGTTGTCATTAAGCATTATGTTGACCTTGACCAAATATGGGAGGAGGTATTTGTTGAAACAGTGTAATGTAAATATCACGAGTCGAGGGTCTAAAAAAGTCACGTATAAAATAGCAAAGTGCATTAACTGAAAATAGTTACACTCACTTATAAATGAGCCTGTTTGTAGTTATAAGTGAGTGAATTTAGCTTTACGTTGCTTTTACAATATTCCAGCAATACCACGGCGGAGGATAATAGAAATGGACTTCACTCATTGTACCCATGTGGGGAATCGAACCCGGATCTTCGTCATGACGAGCGAACGCTTTAACCACTACGCTACCAACCGTCAATTTGTAAAAGAGTGGGCGTGTTTGTTTTAACGCTGCTTTAAAGAATACAGCAGTTTTGTCATGCCGTTGATGTAGGAATGCGTCAACATTCATCGAATTTATAATGCCAAATATTGTATTTTGTTGAAATGAATAATCGTATTTATTTCAACATCACGCACAGGCAAAGTGTAGCGCAAATAGGATTGCGCAACAGAGAAAAAATTACCAGTGTTCCTATATGCGCGCGAAGCGAGCAAAGGTGGGCAGCGTGCTTCCCTCGCTTCGGTTCGAAAAATATTTGTAATATCAAAATAAAATATCGTCACCATCAAAGGTCTACACCCATTTCCTCACAGGGTTGTGCTCTCAGATTCCCAACCTCATATTTAATAATTAGTCACGTAAATATATTTAATTCAGCATTTTAAGCGCCACTCGTGGGATGGCAAATCGTTCTTCGCCTCCTTTGTTAGGTTTAGGTTAACTCCAGTTTTCAAGTGTACAGTTACTTTCAACCTACAGTTAATGTGCCAAAAAATAAGCTTTTTGAAGTACAAAATTTGGCTTCTCTATTGCATTCTTTTTTGTGATATATGTTTCTTATCGGCGCCAGCGAGAGTGTCAGGATTATCACCGGTGAGTTAACGCTCAGGTGAGACATGACAGGTAATCCGCGTTGGTCCAGGGAAGGATTAGTAATGAAAGTACATACCTATTAGTGATGTTACCTGAGAACTCACTACAGGTGATATATGACTTGTTCTGATAATATCGACTGCGTGAAGACAATGCCGACAGTATTTTTCTAGACATCGCACTTTACTTGAGTCAAAGCAGCTACATGCCCTGATGTGATAGGGCGGTGGGGTAGCCTAGTGGTTAAAGCGTTCGCTCGTCACGCCGAAGAGCCGGGTTCGATTCCCAACAATGTGGGAACAATGTGGGAAGCCCGTGTCTGGTGTCCCCGCTGTGATGTTGCAGGACGATTGGTAAATGCGTCGTAAAACTAAACTCACTCATTCCTGCTGTGATATTATAATGACAGACAGACAGACACGTTTATTCAGTAAAAGGCCACAGGCCCATCATACAGTCATTTGCATATGGTATTGATAGTTAGTGAACATGCTATTTAAGAGGAACATTTCTAATGCGCTGGTTCTCGCGTAACATAATATACCAGTATATGTCTTAGGTATATGAGTTATCAAAGTTGTGTGAACATATTTTTTTTCAATTCAAATCCATTAGAATTATTTGTTTGATCAAATAGCTTCATTGACTATTTGCCTGACTGGGCCGTGGGGTAGCCATAGTGGTTAAAGAAATTCGCTCGTCACGCCGAAGACCCGGGTTCGATTTCAACGCACGAGTACCGCCCCTGACTATTTGCGGGGAGGTGGGGTAGCCCATTTCTGGTGTCCCGAGTACAATGTGTGAAGCCCATTTCTGGTGTCCCCCGCAGTAATATTGCTTGAATATTGCTAAAAGCGGCCTAAAACCATACTCACTCACCAATTGATTATTTGAAGTCTATATTAGTGCAAATTGTCTTATAACACAAAAGTACCCAATTTTATTATTATAAATTCATCAGTGGTAACAACAACAAGGCGCCCTGATACCTTCTTTGTTTGCATACAGTTTCACTTTATCTTGTCCAATTTTAATTTTTGATTCAAGGAATTCATAAAACAAGAAATGTTGTCACGTCCGTTAGTAGGTCATTAACATGTTCGATAAACTATATCATGACAAAATTGAAGTCGTGTTGTTAAAAGTGCGGTTGGTGATATATTCGTTGTAAGTAAAGGAATGTAATTTCCACTTTGAGTCGGTGTGCGCTACCGATAGATTGGAGTGAATAGAATTTGAAAACATCAGAGTTACCTCCCCTGGCAAACTTCCTCTCTTCCCGTCATCCTATGCAACTTCCTTTCAACACATTGCCATCCCTTCGAAACAAGGTATACCCATGGATTCCAACTCAAATCTAGTCCCATCTCCATCAATATGACTATTTACCTCAGACACAATACCCGTAAAGCAATAGTGGTCAATGCTGCACCCAATAATGGTTATATTTGTGTGTTTGGGGCTGCGATTGTTCAGGAAATACTGACCAGTCGAGTGTATGTCCATCTCTCGCTTGTGTAGTGGTTATAATAAATGTTTTGTTGACGTCTCCCTTTATCATACAACAGCACACTAGAGGTATTTATAGCCAGAACATCGTATATTTATAACGATAAGTGTCAATAATAAGTATTTCACTATGTTCATAATCTGCTTTAACGTAAGTCGACACTTGTAGTTAAAACTGAAGCCAGATACCCATCTCAAAATGGCTTGCTACATAAGTCGTCTTATTGCTAATGCCAGACCCGGTTTCACGCCAAATATGACGCCGAGTCTTAGATCTAAATGTAAATACTTACATAGCCTGCACAGGAAGGAAAGAACCAGAACGCTCACACGATACACAACTAGTTGCTCACATTTCTAGTGAGAAAGATCAAATATGTAGTTCATAGTGCTAAGCATTCAGTTTTTGATTATTTCGATATGTGTTTCAAGAGTGATCAATTTGATGACTGACTAAAATTAAATGTTTTTATGTATGTTTATTTCAGTACTTAATAAGGCCACAGGCCTATGGTACATTACAATATAAATAGAATTGTAAAAGTAAAAGCTCATCCAGCTCGACTGCAGACTCATTTTGCAATTATGTTAAATCTGTACATGGAGGCATGATAAATGAACATAGCTAAATCTCGCAGAACTTTACCATTTGTATTTGATAACAATAAATGATATTTAGTTAAATTTGGGTATGTAAAGTAATTGGGTTGCAGGTATCTTTCTCTCAGTTGTAAGTAAACAGGACATACAAGCTGAACATGATACTCATCTTCAACTGAATTTAAGTTACAAACATTACAAATTTTCACAAACAACTGAATTTAAGGTACAAACATTACAAATTCTTTACAAACAACTGAATGTAAGTTACAAACATTACAAATTCATTACAAACAACAACTGAATATCATTACAAATTCTTTACAAACAACAACGACTGAATATCATTACAAACATTACAAATTCTTTACAAATAACAACTGAATATCATTACAAACATTACAAATTCTTTGGTCCTGACTAATGTATTTATAACGTCCCGTTTCAATAAAAAGATCATGGGAGGAACATCTAAAACGTGGAAGAGCAGTTCAGAACTTTTTAACGGTAATCTTATAAAGGTAATCTTTCTGGATTATTTGTGATTTAAATAGTTTGTAATAAAAACACTTATTTGATAAAGCCAGTGAAGCAGTCCATGTCTGTATACACATATCTTTTAGCCTTTGTGTTAATGATAATACAAAATTTGATTTTGAAAACACATTCTGATTTTGCCAAACTTATCCGTAACCACTAATTAAAAGTAGCTCTCTAACTAAATGAAACGGTCCTGTGATGCTCAGATTTCAATATAAAGGTTGTGCACGACAGATCATATGTTTCATTTACATGAGTGTCAATGCAACTGTTTCTTAGGAATCAATTTTGGTACCAAGTTCTATGACACTGCTACACACAAATTCCTTGATCATTTTAATTATTCAACTTCATTGTCTGTCAGTTGTACTGTCAGTAACACATCTAAAATCCTTACAACAGGGAGATGAATTTGTAAATTGAGATAAATTCTATGATCTCAATAAAAGTTATTGGATAATTCATTTTTATCCCCCGCAACGCGTTTTGCGGGGGGTATTAAAATGGACTCCGTCCATCAGTCCGTCCGTCCGTGCACATTTGTCTTTTCCGGAGCAGAACTCTAAAACCGTTCAATATTTCTTCACCAAACTTGGCACATACATGGATCTGGTGGTGTACTGGTGCCTTTTGGTAGTTTTGGAATTCTGAATTAAATATTTTGGCATTTCCATGGCAACAAGTTCGACTTTGACTGAAATTAGTGGTAGTGCTCTTTTCCAGAGCAGAACTCTAAAACTGTTCACTATTTCTTCACCAAACTTGGCACATAGATTGGTCTGGTGGTGTACTGGTGCCTTTTGGTAGTTTTGGAATTCTGAATAAAATATTTTTGGCATTTCCATGGCAACAAGTTTGACTGAAATTGGTGATAGCGCTGCTTTCTGGAGCAGAACTTTAAAAACCTTTCAATACTCTCCTTCCACTTTTCTATATACACACCTAAATATTTGACATAATCATAACTCGTAGACATAATCATGAAGAGTATTTTGCCATTGCGGGGGATATTGATGACTTTGTCTTCTTGTGTTCGATTATTATGAGAAAATGTGATGGATTGCTTGGTCGTTTGGTCACTGACCAATCTTCTATTGTTTCAATTAATTGGAACACCACTAGTCTCTAGTATGTTTGATCAACATTTGATTATTGACTTGGTGCACATTACCCCCAATGGGAACAGATTTTCTCAGGAACTGTTATAGATGGGGAAAACCAAATGTAGTATGTGTGTTTAGGACATGAATGTCGTGGTGGAGTTAAAAACAGGAACCAAATATGAACAGAACACTGTGGCGGGCATATTGATGACCTTATCTTCTTCCTTATTATTTATTGTATGAGGGGAGTGTAGGGATAGTTGGGATAAACTACTGTGACTTTGTTCAGATTAGCTTTTTGACAAGCAACACCAACATTGACATCCGTAGTCCTCAGTGACTGTGGCTCTGTCTTTGTGGCAAATGGGAGCTGAGTGCCCATTTTGGGTGTGAGGTATATTCCCTTTCCACAATGTTGGAGAGAAAGCCAGTCCCCTAAATTTGTTTGGGTGTGGGCTGACCTCTGCATATTCCATAGACTTCTCTGAGCCCTTGTGGCTGTGACAGGGGAGACAAACCATGCAGAGAACAGAACTTGTAAGAACTTTAGAAAGTTGGTCTATTTCCCTCTGTTTAGCTTACTAATGTTGTGGCTCTTCATGTCGTGAAGCAAGATAACCGATCTATCATTAATGTTTGAACTGAACATCTCTAACGAAACCAACAGCTGCATGAGAATGAATTTTGCGTGAGTAATGCAAGCAGTTGCAAGTATGACCCATGTAAGATGTGACCCATTGTAATGGCAACTATGATAGAATTATCTGACTTAAATTTACCCCTTGTTAATCCCATGTTGAGTTGGCTTGATACAAGTTATTGTAAGAGGGGAGGACACTGATGGGTGGGATCAGCTTCTGTGACTTGGTTGATATCATGTCGTAACTAGATGCTGTGTGACAGTGCATATGTCAGTCTCTAGTAGTGTTGGGGAATTGGTTGAAATCTCACAATTGATGATTGTTGCATTACCAACGAACAATCACATTCGTCCATCCGTCCGTCCGTGTCCAATCCGTCCGTGTACAAGTGTCTTTTCTGGAGCAGAACTCTAAAACCGTTCAATATTTCTTCACCAAACTTGGCACATAGATAGATCTGGTGGTGTACTGGTGCCTTTTGGTAGTTTTGGAATTCTGAACAAAACATTTTTGGCATTTCCATGGCAACAAGTTCGACTTAGAATGAAATTAGTGGTAGTGCTCTTTTCCGGAGCAGAACTCTAAAACCGTTCAATATTTCTTCACCAAACTTGGCACATAGATAGATCTGGTGGTGTACTGGTGCCTTTTGGTAGTTTTGGAATTCTGAATAAAATATTTTTGGCGTTTCCGTGGCAACAAGTTTGACATAGACTGAAATTGGTGGTTGTGCACTTTTCCAGAGCAGAACTCTAAAACTGTTTACTATTTCTTCACCAAACTTGGCACATAGATAGATCTGGTGGTGTACTGGTGCCTTTTGGTAGTTTTGGAATTCTGAATAAAATATTTTTGGCATTTCCATGGCAACAAGTTTGACTTAGACTGAAATAAGTGGTAGTGCACTTTTCCAGAGCAGAACTCTAAAACCGTTCAATATTTCTTCACCAAACTTGGCACATAGATAGATCTGGTGGTTTTCTGGTGCCTTTTGGTAGTTTTGGAATTCTGAATAAATATTTTTGGCATTTCCATGGCAACAAGTTTGACTAAAACAGAAATAAGTGGTAGTGCACTTTTCCGGAGCATAACTCTAAAACTGTTCAATATTTCTTCACCAAACTTGGCACATAGATAGATCTGGTGGTTTTCTGGAGCCTTTTGGTAGTTTTGGATTTCTGAATAAAATATTTTTGGCATTTCCATGGCAACAAGTTTGACTTAGCCTGAAATAAGTGGTAGTGCTCCTTTCTGGAGCAGAACTCTAAAAACCTTTTAATACTCTCCTTCCACTTTTCTTTATACACACCTAAATATTTGCCATAATCATAACTCGTAGACATAATCATGAAGAGTATTTTGCCATTGAGGGGGATATTGATGACTTTGTCTTCTTGTTATTTATACTATAGAGTTCCTTCAGATAGGAACTGAAGAACAAAAAGATGTACAAGTCAGGAGTCTTGCCCCATACCTTGTGGAATGTTTTGGTGGCGTTTTTATGCTCCCTGACAAGATAATTGGTGTAGTCAATTCAATACAGGTCTTTATTTTCTGTAGTTCACCTTTTCCAATAGGAAGGTGAGGTAAGAGTTCCTCCCGTTCCCATCCCAAATAATATTTAATATTAACAAAACTTAACACAACAATTACTAGAGAACTCACAATATGACTTAAAGTCCAAAATTTAACTTAGGGTTAGGTTTAGGGTTGGGGAAACGGAAGGAACTCTTTCCGAAGGTGAATCTTGCATGTGTAATCTATCGATGCAGAAAGTTCAGTTCATACTTAGATATGAATACTGTAACTATGAGCTATGATTACTAAACCTGGTCTATGATCGTGTGTCAAAAGTTGCAAACTATGCAGACCTTTGTTTCCAAAGTTGCAAACTATGCAGACCTTTGTTTCAAAGTTTTGAAGGTGTTGGGGGAGAGATTAAACATCTCAATCTGTGTTCCAGGAAAATGGCTCCACCACGCAGAAGGGAAAAGAAGAAGTCTGTAACAAATGAGGTGATCACCAAGGAGTGCACCATCCATATTCACAAGAGGATCCATGGAATGTAAGCTGATGGAGTGTTCCTTCAATATCTATGCTGCTGAGAGGCATCCTTATAGATAATTGATCAGTTGCAGGGTTTTACCTTGACTCACAAACGTGGGGATCTCAGGGACCACTAATTATGAGTTTTAAGGGTCCTTACAGGCAATACGAGGGTCCTGTGAAGTTTCAGTTTAGAGAACTGTATGTTTTGATCTTTTCTTTAGAGCAGAGCCAGGAATGAATCATTGATCATGTGGACTGATAGGTGAAATGATGGAAGTATCTGCTCTTAAAGAAACAACCAAACACTTGGCAGAGTCATAGATGTGTTCATGGTATGGGTACAGTGAATATTATTGTGCATCACTCTGGGTGCAGTGAATATTTTTCTAAGTCTATACTCTACATTTTTGCGTACTGGACGCACAGTTTGTCGCGTAAAACCCTGAGTTGATTAGGTTCACTTAGTTGCAAGTTTTGTCAACATACTATATGTCTTTCCATGATCAACCTTGCAATAGGAAAGAAGTAGATTTGATGGCTTAGCATCCTTGTTCTCGTTTTATCATTTAGCTTGTGAACCAGAAACAGTAAATTTGCACATATAAGAGAAACATAATGTCAAAATGAAGTTTCATGTAAGGTCAATAAAAATAATTTCGTTGCTGGTATTGTTGAAAGGGATGAGAATTGGAGATGACATTTGTTTTTTAAAATATTTGCTTAATTGGAAGGTCTTTAAGACTAACTGCTGTAAATCCAGAAAGAATGGTAGTTGCAATAACTTTACAATTTACAGTGGCTTCAAAAAGAGGGCCCCCAGATCCATCAAGGAGATCCGTAAATTTGCTGAGAAAATGATGGGAACTCCTGATGTTCGTGTGGACACCAGGCTGAACAAGCACATGTGGTCCAAGGGAGTCAGGTAGGTAAACATGCTCACATGAACAAATGGAGTCCGTAAAAGTGTGGGCTCTCTGGATAAGAATGAGCACTATCCATAGCAAGTTTTCTTTGTGATAGCAGCATCTTAACAAATATGGTGGTCAAGATCTGTGGCTTGGTTGGTGCTTGTCATCATATCCCTACTTTACAGACCAATGCTTATGACAAAATTACTGAATTGGTCCTGACACAAATATTTATGGACATTTGTCTCATAGATGGAATATTGTTGGCAATAAACAAGAAGACATCTCCTTTGGGATGAGCAACCCCTTTCCAAAGGAGTCTGATAAATTACCTGGCTTTTGTTCTCAACATTGTACAGTGTGTGGATGGATTGTTCATGTCCCCCTGATTTGGCTGTAACAGTGATAAAAACAATGTAAGACAATTCACTCAATGTAGTTGGGAACACACATGTCCCAGTTGCATTAGGTGCCACAAGTCTCTATGCAGAGGACTGCCTCCGTGGTGTAGTGGTTAGAGTGTCCGCCCGGAGAGCGGAAGGTCGTGGGTTCGATCCCCGACCGCGTCATACCAAAAGATGTTAAAATATGGTACTTGATGGTTCCTGCCTGGTGCTCGGCATTAATGGGTACAACAAGGACTGGTTGGCTCGGAGTCAGTATAATGTGTCTGAGTGGGGTATTCATGCTTCACTGCGGCATGGTATCTCCGTGGGCTAGCACTATATAACCAGCTTCAGTCTGGGCTAGTACAAGCAGCCGCACATACACATACACACACATGCACCTCGTCATATGAGCGAAATATTCTCAAGCACAACCCAATTTCACCTCATCTCACTATGCAGAGTTGCATCCCACAGGCACACCAAAAACATGTGATAGTGGCTTCAAATCCCAGTTCACCTCAATTGGTTTTTATGCTGTCACTGCACAGGAGTTTAACAAAGTTGGTAAAATTCCATCTGCAGATTTTTATGTTATTATATCCTCATCATTGACCCTGACCTCAGAATAGCTATCACCTTTCCTGTATGGTTTCCTTATCTGTTGATACTGTGTGGCTGGAAGCTTAGTCAATCTGAGATGTCTGTTGAAAACATGCAGGGATTGATTTGGTTATCCAGGCTGCGCTAGTGCTGGTATATTATTGCTTGGGCACATAACTTTGTCAGGTTGCATCCGGTTCAGTTAACATTTTCCTACCCAAAGTGCATGGTAGCACATGGAATTGACATAAATTTCCTATATTGAATAAGTGTCATCCTATTGTCTGTATCAGGTGAATCAATTATCGGGGGAAATGAAAACAAGTTTTTAAGCTTATTAATCAGTTTCATAGACCACACACTCTGTACAGTCATGCAACATTTTTTGGAATGTGTCAGTGGTAATTGAACAGGTTGATTTTGCCCACTACTTCAAGCGGAAATGAATTGCATGTATGAAATAAAATATTACTGAAACACGGGTGGAAATAACCCATTGCCCGACACCTGAGTCAAGTGTTTTTTTCTGTCGGGCAAGCACATTTGTATATCATGCTGTACCGGTGTCCAGTTGACATTACAATGTTAATTATGTTGTTTATTTAAAAAATCACCAAGAAAATCGTCCGGTATAGCGGAAAGGGCAAGTGATTTTATATGTGCCACTGTACCAGAGTACACTAGCAATTTTAAAGTTATTTCCTCCTCTGAAACAGCAACCATCTGTCAAAACATTCCATGACACTTAAATATTTTGTGAGCAGTACTGAAGATGATAATGTTAGCCATGAACAAGTCATGGTCTGCTGATAAGGATTCATCTGCTGTCCCTGACCGTGACACCATTGTTAATAACGTGATGCTAGGTTGTACCTTGGATAGCAGTGAAAAAGAATCAGAGCTCCCGATAAGATTTAGCTCATGTAGGAGCTGTACCCACTGTATTTTTTTGGAGTGGGTATTATGAATGTTGAGTGGGTATTTCATTTTCCGTTACCCACTGCTTTCAAATATGTGCGTATTTCAGTCATTTTACTCACCTAAGTATTATGTCATTAAGTAAGTTTACTAAGCAGGTATGTTCTGCCTTATGTCATACCTAATCAAAACCAACTTAAATATAAAGGAAATGATTTCATAAAAAATCACTGATCCTATACTGACAGTACAACACTAGTGCTATACTAACAATACAATTTGATAGCAATCGATGTCTTTTTCATTACGCAAGCGATTTTTATAAATATATTCCGTACGCATTTGTTTTAAACTTTTTGCAGCATATCTAACATTTTAAATGTGTAATTGGTACGCAATAGTTATTTGTCAATGCGTAATTGGAATTTTTTTATTTGTATTTTACCCGGATACGCAGCTTATCTGGGCCTCTGAGAATTCAATTTTATCCTGCTGTGATCATGGTTTTGCCAATTTTGTGTGTGTGAAAGTGTTTCACACTCAAAGGAACACTGTGATATGCAACAGTCAAGATTGCAATATTGGCTGTGCCTACTGTATATGACAGCAGATAAGCTGAATTTTGAGGAACAAAAAAAGAAACCTATGTAAATATATTGAGCATGCACTATTGTGTGGATTATAGCACGTAACAAATGTCCATTATTATTTATTATAAATGGGTTGACTTGTCGAAAGATTTCACTTACACAAACTCCTTTTTCAGGTGGTAAGAAAACAATGTGGGGAGTTCATTATTGGTGTCCCCATCATGTTGCTTGAAGAGGCGTAAAATCACGCTCCCTCATCTGCGCATCTTGATTGCTAAAACTCCTCTTTCCTTGTTTTAGGAATGTCCCATTCAGAGTCCGCGTCCGCCTTGCCCGTAAGAGGAACGAAGATGAAGACTCAACACACAGACTGTACACCCTCGTCACCTTTGTTCCCTGTGTGGAATTTAAAGGTAAGACAAGCAATGGCTTGTTGTAGATATACATCCAATACATGAAGCCAAGGCAGGACTTCTGTTGGAACAGCGTGTTAGGGCTGTGAAACATTGAAAGGTGGATAAAAGTTCATCATTACAGAGATGACATTTTAAGATCATGAAGGCTAACTGTTGAAGGGAGGTAACTCTTCAGGCCTTCTTTTTGAAATTTGTATTCTTGGCCTTGCCATGTCAGCTGGGAGCTCTGTCCAGGGATTTTATGAGAGTAGTTGAAGCAAGAATTGCCCTGTTTATCATCAAAAAGGCTTCTATGGATTGAAGAATAACTTGTTGAATGTCATGTTTTTTCCTATGTAGTGCTTCAATAACTATTTCAAAAGCTTTCTGTATCTGATTATTATTTTTAGTTGATCACAAAACCTTTGTGGCCCACTTTCCATGTTAATTAAACTGTTATAAACCAGTGAAATTAAATTCATATTTGAGGTACTAATGATATTATAGTGTATGTTCATAGTTTAAGTTTTTTGGGTTGGTTTTTCTTCTTAAATTTTTGTTAAAAACTTATCCCAATTGCTATGAACAGTTTTTAAAAGAATTCACATGTAATAATGAAACTTTGTATTTCTTTGTTTACAGGTAAACAGACCATCAATGTGGATAACGAGTAAATGTGTGTATAAGGGTGAATAAAAAGAAAAAAATCGAACTGTTTTGTTGTTTTCTTCCCTGCAAAATTATTCATCCCAGGTTAGAATTTATACCCAGTGCTTATGGATTTAAGAACTCAGATCTGCTTTGGTCGCCTGTTTGAGGGTGTCACTGTACCTGAAATGTCTCTAAAAGTGCTCATGACATCAATTATGGGTTTATATGGTTGAGCCTTATTTACATGTTACCATGAGATAGATTGAACATTAGGGTCAGAGTTAAACAGCATTTTCTAATCACTATGCTATCTTGCACAACAGTAGTTGATGCACATTGTGTCATTAAGTTATAGGTGTAAGACACAACTTGATGAATAAGGTATTTGGCTTAATGTCTTTTATGGCATGAGAAAGGTTGCTTTTTTTGTTATATATTTATATTTTGACAATATGTAATTGTAAATATTGTAGGCAGTGATTGACGTGAAAATAGATCTATATAATTAAGGAGGATATCATACAGGCAAATTGACAGGTCTGAAACCTTAAAAAATATGTGCAAGAACTTTCTACCTCTTTAAGAGTACCTTAGACTAACAACTAGTCTCTGAAATGAACAAATTTTACTGAAAAAAGTTCATAGTAAAAAAATATATGTAATGAAAAGGAGCCCTGAGACTTTCTTCATTTTCAGACCTGAAGCTGAGGAAATCTAGACTTGCCACATTTTCTAGACATGTGTGGGCTTTCTTGGATATATTTGCTTCAGGGTCTGTACGAGAGACTAAGAGTACCTATGCAACAATTGTTACCGAGTTTAATCGGTTACATAAAAGAAGCGAAAGTGATTGGTACGCTCAACTTACCAGCGTAGACACCTGATACGATAAAAAGCCAGCAAAGGGAGGTAATAAAATTATCGGGCCGAGCCATAGATGCATCCAAGGTACTATATAGTGGAGATTTATCGGAACGTATTCCCTGGAGATTATCGAGGATGGGAAAGCATGGGTGGATGGAGATAGTTCTAACCCATATCTTCAGAGGTAGCATGAGAAGGTATCTAAGGGCACACACTTAATTACTGTCGGAAATAGAAAAATACTGGCTTTAGGCTGTTACTGTGTCCCTAAAATTTACACAATTGCAAATAGCATATGTCGAAATAACCCACATCGGCCTAACGGAGCGTTCAGTAGGATGCGTAATGGGATATCTAGAAAAGCATGTTTACTCCTAAAATCGGGCAAAACTTAGAAAAATACGAATAGCTGCTGAAAACAATAGATCAGACTATATATGGCAATTAGGTCGCTCAGCCAGGTATGACGACGGACCATCGACTCATCTGGCGTGAAATGCATGTGCTGCATACATGCACAAGAGGTCATCTCAAAACTATTTTATGTCTTTGTCATAAAGTTTATGTTGAGATATGTAAAGAGTATGATACTCATAGAAAAGCTTACATTAGCCATCGTATTAAATGTCTAAAAATGTATAGGTGACATGACCATCCGAAGATCGACAGGACTGGACATTATTTGTAAATAGTTATGACATGCCGTTTACTTCCCCAGTTTAATTCCCCTAAAGGATTATCTTATCGTAGCTGATATCTCCATCCCCCAGCCCGACACCAACTACCGTCTGCGACACCCGTCCTGGTTTTGCTTTAGAGACGACCCCTCCTACCTGTTTCTTTTTATAGTGATAGTGAGACTGCATGGTAGCTGCATCATTAATAGTTTCCGTCTTAAAGTTATTATGTTTTACGTCAGCTATCGTTTATAATGAAGCTACTTTTAATTTCAAAAAGATTTCTTTGTAATACAATATCATCGCACACTTATTTGCATAAAAGCCATGGTCTGTTCCACATAAGTCGCTTTCGCTTATTTCTGCACTAATCTCTCCTCGGTAAAGTCCTTTTTGTACGGTTCCCACCCCTCTACCTGAGACTGTAGTTGTTGGGCCGATCTTAGTTTAACAGATATTTCACATTTTCACATATTAACTACATAAATTGTAGATATAAATGCGACAGTACTTTACTGCTGATTATCTGGTCAAATTTTTTATTATAGACGGCTGGAATATTGTTTGCCTCCAGGAGCAAACAAACCTACATGAAGGTGATTGGCCATAATCAACCCTATATTTGTCTATAAGTAACATGTCCATTGAGACAAAATCAGACCAATGACTGTTTCATTTTAGTATTGGCGATGTCCTTGGCTGCCTCATAACCTATCATCACAACTGGTGACTGACGACGTATGAACTGTTCATATTAATCTGTCTGCTCCACCTACATTTGAGTCCTACAGTTGAATCGGTGGGAACAATTATTGCCAACCAATGATACACCATCAAGGTCATTAACTTAAAATATATTTAGTATGAATGGGTTTGAGGAAACTTCATGTAATTGGTGTAGATGAATCACTTTAAAGTACGATAAACTCGATTGAATGAAACATCGTGGCTTGAACCAGAGGAAATATGTTCATAATTCTAGAGAAGTCAAGTTTTTTTTTCTTCCGTGAAAAGAAACTATCTTAGCACATTTTTGGTGAAGGTGACAGGACATGGTTAATCCTGGTGAATGTGTGAACATTTAATCGGAAAAATATTGAGCTTAATGGTATGCAATCTATATATTTGTACAGTCACTTGGTGTGCTAACAGCTGAACATCAGCGTCATTACCTTTGAAGCTGAAGTACACATTCCATTCTTTTGTAAGTGCCAAGGTTAAATGCCAACAGACCGGAAGTGAAGTTTAGACCGGAATTGCTTGTAAATGAGGAATTGGACTTTTAAGTCCAGGTGATGTTTTTACCCATGGGTTAAGTTTGGTACCCGGTTGTACCAAACTTTTTAGATCGAGTGATCAAGCTCAGTGACTTGCATGAACTTCAGAATATCAATGAATAGATTCATATGCCCTTGATGCTTACCAGCGACGTCATACGTCTGTCTTGTGTGAGGTGTCAGTGGGTGTATATGGCCCTATAACTGGCGATACTGCAATACAATAAGACTAGAATCACGTGGTGGTTGTTGGAAAGGTGTGTTCGTGGTCCACAAATACAAAGGGTGCATACGTGCGCCATGTTCATTTCTACAACTATATTCGAACAATACCTTCGCCAATTTGTGAACAATTAAGTATGGGCCAGGAAAACCAGTGGGCATATTCAACCCGTTTACGCATTGTAACCACCCTTTAACTGTTAGCCTGCGTTTAACGCTTTTGGATATTTGAGACTCATTCCGACCCGGAAACTCCACGAGAAAGAAGTATCCAGCTGAACCTTCCCAAGCTATGGTTTTGCAGGACGCTGCAATGCACACTACTGATTAACGGTACCACAATCTGCGGTCATATATACACGCAGTACACTAAACTGATGTACTGAAAAAGGTACACACATGGTGCTTTGGAAGAAGTTTCCACAAAAACACAACGTACCTATTGTAAAAAGTCGCCCTTTTGATTGTGACTTGCGAGTCTCAAACATTGTGTAGATGCCCCTAAAACAAGTGTAGTTTCTGTTGTACGTCAGTTTAGTTATGTTTGCTACGCCGGTGTTGAGACCAAGAACATGCCATGTATAATTTGAATGTTCAGAGATGCGCCTCATTTAATATCATCTGTGATGGCTGATGACGTTATAATGGCAAATAACTGTGTGTATTTTAAGGTACCATACTCTCTTGGTCCGGGTTAGAATATTGATGTTCAGTAACCCATGCTTGTCGTAAGAGGCGACTAACGGGATCGGGTGGTCAGGCTCGCTGACTTGGTTGACACATGTCATCGGTTCCCAATTGCGCACATCGATGCTCATGCTGTTGATCAATGGATTGTCTGGTCTAGACTCGATTATTTACAGGCCGCCGCCATATAGCTGGAATATTGCTGAGTGTGGCGTAAAACTAGGCTCACCCACTCTCCTGGATCAGCGGTATGGAATATGTCAGAAAAAGGGTCTTGTGGAAGATCGAGATAACAGGGAAACACACTAATGCTATGAAATAGCCTTGTGACTGTTCGATATGGCAATATGTATCTGATTACATTTTCAATTTCAGTAATTGCTACAACTTGGCGAACGAAATACGTTGTTCTTGTATAAGTTAGATATGTGACGGTAGTGATATATACTACTCACGAAAAGTTAAAGAGCACTCGACACCTTCATACAATTGTGCTAAATCCGTGCCATAGCAGATGAACTATAGTCTGTTTGCAGTGAAAACGTACCGATGACTTTCACTCTAAATAAAAAGTAAATCGATTAAAGCGAAATTAAGATTGCGAATCCTCATAATTTTACCTTGCCAATTGAACATTCAAATCTCAGAATTTTATTCAACTTAGGATAAAAGTTGTTTAACAAACGATCATAGTTTCAAATCGCTATTAATGGTTTGTATTACAAGGGGTATGCACATTAGATGAAACACCGAGAACAAGTAGGGTTGGTCTAAGTTAACGCTCATCACGAACCGCACGTGTATTTGTTTCACTGTTCCATCTACTGCGCTTACCCCCTTGTAATACAAACCAATAATAGCGAATTCTTTTGAGTGGTATCTGAAAACATAAAGGGTGGTGCTTAACTTATAACTAGGCGTGTAGCTGTTATATTTCTTATCTCAACGCGAAAACCCTGTTACCAACTCTCAAGGAACCCTTTTACCTTCGATGGCTGTAGACTTTTTGAATTACAAAATACACAAATGCACGTACACTTGAAATCTGTTCATACTTTTAAAAATCCGTGTTCCTGCCTGACAATGAAACTATTCATCAGTCACAGCGGGCATGAAGATTACACTATTCATAAAGAACACAACACCCATGTCGAATTCCCTTATTCATATTTTTATCAATTCCAACAGAAGCAATTAAACTTCGACCACTGCATACAAACACCACAGACAGTTCTCAATTGTACTTCAAGTAAACAATAAACTAGTGATTCTCTCTCTAAGTGAACAACGTCACCATACATTATCCACCAGACAATATATATTGTAATTCC